GGCTTTGAAGCGTCTTGCCGCTTTGGAGCAGGGAGTACTGGCCTCTTCAGTACCGCAGCTACCGCGGCCGGGGATACCGCCCGGTGGCCTTGCCGGGTGTCGATCTGTGAAGTGAAATTGCTCTCGGCATACAGGCTGGTTTTCGGGATGGTATTCAAGAACTCCCAGGTGGTAGGCACTTTTTGGAGATCAGAAGCAGACATAAAAACTTCCTAAGACACCTGGCATGCGGACGTGGATACGTCTTCCACTCGCTGGCGCCGCTGCAGCTTTTCGGGGACAATGATGGTATGCAGATCGTTCGGTTTCTGAGGAATTACAACAGCTTTCTCAGGATTTGAAGAGTTTCTGTGTTGTGACATGGTCCCAGGATGCCCCCGGTGACTTGCCGGCATGTTGCCGATACCTGAATGGCTGGAGCTTAGAAAGGGCCGATTGGCGTAGAAGATCCCCTGCAAAGGATTGACACTTGTTGCAAGGTCCTTGTTCAGAAAAGCACCACGAATTGTTAAGGAAATAGGTGACCCTCACAGACCAGGGAATCAACGTGGGTATTGGAGTGGAACTTGGAACCACATATTACCTCCCGCAAATTTTCAAGAGTTCATGGGCAAACCTATTTCGCAGAAGGCCAATCCAAAATTCCAACCGAACAAATCAAAAGAGTCAAGGAACCAGGACATTCACTCGTGCGACTTGAGAGTCATGGATCTTAAGATATCTCATTCATCTGGGAAGGGTTCATTCAGAACTATTTAGAACAGATCGCTCGGTTGGCCCCGTCCGCAGAGGGCTTTCTCCGTCTCCGACACCGCCACCGGTGTCCAGAGCGCTTCCTAAGGAGCCGGTGTCGGTCTGGTCGGGGATCTCAGGTGGAGCCGGGGAGCCATCGGGTGGTACGGGGCATTGTTCGTTGGGTGCTGATTCTCCATACTCGTTGGGTGGTTGGTTCCGAATTGGCATCTCATCTGTGTGGTTTCGTCCAAGCTAGGTTGATTGACCAAGGGCGAAATCGCGAACTGCGACATGGACACTGGACGACCATATTTGTTTGCCCTGTGTTTGCATGTTGCCTACACAGATACACGGCGCAAATTGAGATATACCAGGTGACGCACCAGGTATACTTGCATTGCATACACATGCATTCGTATACATGGAGTACAGATACATGATACATGATGCATGTGTGTATGTACACGTCCAGGCTATTACATACCCCTCCCCCCAAAAACGCGTAAGGACCCTGAAAAGGGAACCCAAGGTTTTCTGGGTTCGTTGATGCAAAAACACCATCACCACACCAACTATCTGTCGATCAGATCTGGGAACGATCCAACACAAGATGAAGATCCGTGACTTCCCCGTCGAAGAGGTCGTGGACTATGGATTATATAGTGGACAAAAGACTGCTGTCGACTCCTCATGAGGTCCTGTCCTGCCCAAATCTGCGACCCTTTGAGGTCGCCGCTTGACGCTCTTTGAGTTGGACACCGGAGTTTCTTCGCCGGTTCCTGCGCTGGGAGAGCTTCGCTGGTTCCGTCACCTCGCCTGGAGCCGAGGTTCGCTGGAAAGCTCGAGCACCGGAGGCGACTCTTTTTGGACAGACGCGAGGGAGAGATGGCGCCAGACGGGCCAAAAGCGGGGCGCGCAGCAAGAAAGCCAGATCAATGACACTGTACTTCGAACCTGAAAACAGAGTGAGGATCAACAAAGGCCAGTCAGTGACTCGTGTTCGACCTAATGTGGTGCGGTGAGACCTGCGTGGTGCTGGAAATCTGGTGGTGGTGAGATCCAGTGATGCGTGCGGGCTGTGCTCATGGGATGTGGCAAAGTGTATGTATATAAGTTGGATCTGTCCGTTCTTACCTGTAACAGTCAGTAAACAAGCAAATCTTTAATTTTTAACAAGGCCTTTACTAACCATCATCATCCACTGTTATAGACCCAACACGGTTCAATCCAGCAGGATGCGTGCTGCTTTCATGTTTTGTTCCAAACATTTTTTGGTTTTTATTTTTTTGACCTAAAAGGTGCATGTTTGGTCCTTTACGAAGGCTCGCCAAATTTCTGAACTTTTAGAACACAAGAAACGCAACCACCGAGTGCATACCTATACTACATCACAAACCTTTGAATGCCACATGTCACATGTGTTGTGGAGTGTTGCGAGTCACAGATGGCTTGCAACACCCGACACCTGGCCAAGTACCCATCAAGCAACAAGTCCTCTATGGACAATTGTGCACCTACTAAGTCTTCGGGTGGGGTGGGGTTTTGATCTACGATGGTTCAACGCCCAAATGCTGCGTCCATGCCATGCCACTTCTACACCTTCAAAGGGAAAATCAGGCCATCTTGAGCCATTTTCCCCTGATCCAACATGTTGCCATGAGGGTTCTGTTCTTCCTTTTTGACTTCGACACTCAGGTGATCCACACATTCCAGAACGCATTTTCTGTGAGCAGTGCTTCCCCATCCGTGCATCTAGCCACCACACCCCTACCACTGCGCCGAAAGACTCGAAGTACTAAAACGTGGACACCGTGGTGTCCACCGCGGACCTCCACCGGAGGTGGTTGCTTGCAACGGATGAAGTCCACGATGCAGCTGCATCGCATCGTCGAAGCGCACTGAAGCCCGGGGTGGGTCTCTGCAGCGGTAACGTGGAGAAGGGCTGCGCGGGGGATTCGTGTGGGTGGAGTGTTCTGACTTGGAAGTCGGTGTCTTTTTTATTGTGAGGGGGGCAGAATGTGTGTACCAGGGTGTAGGGCAGATCCTCATGGAAGGAAGGTGTTTCGGGGCGGGGGGCATCAGGTGTTCCACCTGACCCCAAGCTGTCGAAACTGCTGCAGGTTCACTGGCTTTTCGCCTATTTCGGACCTCTTCCCTCAGATTGACTTTGCATTCCTTCGATTGACTGGATGAGAGTGAACTCTCACCTAACCACTAGGAGCAAGGACGCTACGAATGGGGCTCCTGGCCTTACTACTAGGAGCGATCGGACGCTACGAACGGGGCTCCTGGCATCGCTACAAAGGGAGCATTCTTGCTACGAACGTAGCGTCCTTGCTACGAACGGAATAAGAAGCCACTCGTCAACCATCTCGCTCTGAGGCCCAGTCTGCAGGAGATCGAGATCGAAAGCCCGGCGCGTCAAGGCGGCGGTCGAGATCCGCCCGGAGGAGACCCGCTTCGCGGCTCTTTTGGCGTGGCGTGCGTGGCTCGAGAGTGGATGACTGTGGGTGAGGATTTTTCAGAATGTGGGGAGTGTCTCATTCATGGTGTTTCTGAAAGCATTTGGTCACTGGTTCGATTCTGTCAACCGGACAGCTATAGCTGTCCGGTGGAATCATGGGTTGAGAAGGAGATCAGGAGATTGTTTTCTTATATTGGGCTATCTCCTGATACGAACAACTCCTTCAGATATAAAGAACAACTCCTATGTTGAGAAGTTGCTATCTGAATCTATGAACAACTCCTGATCTCCTCGCGGTGTTTTTGTTTCTTTTCGATCTCTGTTGGCTGCGGCTACCAAGCTCCAGCCAGTCCACGAAAATCTTGGCTGCCAGGTGTTTTAAAGCCCATGGACAGTGAAAACTGCCTTACCCTCTAATGTAGACTCTTGATGATTTTAAAAGAAACTCACATGAAGAGGTTTTAAAATCGCCAGATTGGCTACTTGGAGCTTTCCTGTTGTCGACTTTCGACCTTCTTCTTCTTCTTTTCGGTGACCTTTGTATGTGAACACCCGCTGGGCGGGTGCCGTGGGTTCCTGGCTTTGCAGCATGCTGACAGCCCTGTCTCTCTTTCTACTCGTGTGAGCACGAGAGGTAGAAGAGGTTTTACGTCGCCCAATGGTTTGTTGTTCTTCAACGAGAGTCGATCCCTTGACCAGGTCAGTTTCTGTCGCCTTGTCGGGGATCGACTGGGCCGGTTGGAAGCTCGTCCCAGTAAACCACCCTCCGAGTGACTCACATTGGTCCAAGGGTCCGCTCGTCCAAGGGTCCATTGCCCCGTCAGAGGGTATAACAGTTGGTAAAAGGAGAGTAACATTTGGAGGCCATCGCCCCGTCTGGAGGCCATCGCTAAAGGAGAGTCACCGTTGGCCATCGTTGGCCAACTTCACCATCCTCCACTGGGCCTGGTTGTCATGGAAGCGAGTGACGCAGCGAGGAGGCGACGAGGAGCCGGCAGACACGCCAGGTGCCGGACACAGAGGGTCGCCGTTGGTTCCAAGGGAAAGTGGCGGGTCTCGGAACATCAAAACCTGGAATGTTTTTTCTGGGCTTATATGCGGTCTTTGGACTGCGGCGCTGCCAGGGGTGCAGTAAAATCGAGTTTCCGGCGTTTTCAGGGACACCTAGTTTCCCATGGTGTGCGGGTCAAAGCTTTTTGGCTTTGATATGATGAACATCCATTTCCAAGAAGCGTTTTGACCCCCCACACGTTGGCATGGGCCAACAGAACTACATCGCACACGCTGTGCAAATTTTGGATGGTCAGATGGGGTCTGGTCTGAACTAGTCCAATAGTATCCATATAAAATATAATGTGTATTTTGTAGAGACCCTAACTCACTTCACTGCGTGCGTGCTGGGGGAGTGTTCGACTTCGCTATCCAGTGGGGCGCTTCTGTCCGATTTCTGCACATTGACTGGTCGCCGACAGAAGGGTCCTGAGAAGCTGTGAAAAGGGTGAACAGGGCTCACCCTGTCTTGATAGACAATCTTGCACACGTTACTCCTGCAGATGCTATGTTTTTATTTCCGTCCATGGAAGCTTTCGTCACTTTCTTGCGCTTCCACAATTTGCCCTTCCACCTTTGAGCCTCCCCCCGAATGGTGACCGTCAAATCATCGGAGGTACACATGTTCGTGATGTTCACGTCCCCTGAGAGTCCAGTGGTTGACTCATTTTACACTTATATGATAGTGGTGGATTATGACATCCCGGTGGGGTAAAATGAGTCAAAACAACAGTTCTGGCCTCATGGACGAATGGCGGAACGGCTTGTTTTGTCCACCGCAGGCGACCGCTTGCAGCTCACCATCCAGCAGGCGACCGCTTTGACCCGGCGGATGCTGGGCTCGCCATTCGTGTTATCCGATGCTAAGAGTTCAGCGTTTGGAGGGTTTCAAGGAGGACAAGGTTTCGCAGATCGGAACCTGAAACGGAAACGAAACCGATTGAGTGAAATCGATCGAGTCTTGACTTCCAAGACTTCAGAGGATCACAGTGATGTTGAGACACATGAGACAGGGATGTTGAACTTGAGGAGCAAAAGGTCTCGCATCCCTGCAGTTTCATGGAGAAAATTGGGCCAGTAGTACCCCACACGTTACAAGTGTATCTTTTGTGATAACACAAACAACTATTTCAGATTACCAATTCAACACTGAACCAAATCGTCGTTTGGGAAACAATCTGTCATCTAAACCTTTGGTGGCAATCTGTCATGTGAGGTTCAGAACTTGAGCAAGCAGCTCGAAAGCATTGGCGAGATCCACAAGGCAGACGAAGATTCCGAGTGGAAGATGTGAAAGAAAAAGGATCGAAGTAAGGGAAGCAAGAGAACCCAAGACACCCACGATCTATGTGATTACCAATAATAAAGGAAGGGGTGACAAGGCTCAGTCCCTTTTCAGAGGCTTGTTTGCCACAATGTTGCTTCTACAGCAATTTTACACCATCGATCTAGCTAGGGAGATCTAGCTCCCAGCCATGTGGAAACTACATCTTCGAGGCCTTTGGGTGTTGTATGGCACTTTGCACAAACGACGGCACGGACCCAAATGACGCGAACCAAAGGAGCCCAAGACGTCGCGTCGCGTCAGCGCTCAGTACGTCGGCCGAAGCACCGACTTGCCACGTCTGAGCGCCAACCAGGCGTAGGTGTTTTCCCGATTTGGTCCAATGGTTTGTCGTTCCAATGGTTTCACGCCCTGGTTTTTCTTGCACCTCGTCTGAAACGCCTCGAAGAAGCCGAAAAGGGCCAAAGGCGGGCCTCCTGGAACTCTGGCAAGGTGTGAAAGAGGTGTTGTTTTGCCGCCCTCCTTTGGGGCGAAGAACCGACTTTGTAGATTTCTGGAGCCTCAGCTGAGCAAAAATCACGGAATTGACTGACAACATCGGTTTGTGCCAAGAAATGGATGGGCAGGACCTCAAGTCAATAAATGTCCGACATACAACGGCTACTAAATAAGTGGGGGCAAGGGGCAGTGTTGCTTTTTCTTTCTTCGTGAAAGACGCAGAACCAAGACATGGGGAAAGGAGGTCCCTTCATGAGACAGACCGGGGTGGGGGGGTGGGTGGCAAGGGAGTCGTGTTGTCTGTGAACACGGGCGGGTGCAGACCCTCCCATCGTCCTCTCGCCGCTCGTACGCCATCGTGAGAGCTCGGTGGGATGGGTCAGGTGAAGATGGGTGGGTCAAGTCTCGCTTCCGCACATGAGTGGGTTTTGGGTGGCACCTGTGGGGCAACCCATGGTCACCAGGTTGAGGTTGACCATGTCAGGTAGTCTATTTGCTTCATTCGGGTGGGAAACAGTCAGGGTGTCCGGGTGCCATGCACAGCCGGCATCACCGGAATGATGGAAAGGGCTCGGCGTCTTCTCGGAACGGACGGGAGGACCAAGCTGTCCCCCAAGGGTTGGAAAAAGCATGGTCAGTGAAAAAGCATGGCCAGTTTCGGGTTGCTACATAAAGGGTTTCTTTCACCCAAATTAGGACTCTGAATCAGCAAACACCCTCAGCAAACACCCTAGAGTCTAGAGGGTCAGGGCATGGCAGTCTGGGTCTTCGAACCATCGGGGGCACTGTCGAGTTTTGAAGTGACCGACCCGGCGGCGACTCGACGAGCTCTGGGAGGTCGTCCGGAGGTCGTCCGGAGGTCGTCCCAATGGTCGTCGAGTCGTTTCACAGGAGGTGAAAAGCCAACTGGAGCCCATGCAGCAGGAATACCTCCGGAGGTCTGGGGTCTCGGTCTGTGGCTGGAATTCGGGCGAACGCGGAGGGCGAACAAAGAGAAAACGACCTGCGGGGGCGAACGTGATACCTGGATGAGCACCTGCAGGCTGTTAGGTACCTGAAAAACCCCGTGACCCCAAAACGGCTGCGAAGGGGTCCTGAATCCTTGGCTGTCGACTGGACAGCTTCCCTGAAGTTTCACAGCCTACGTAGTGCAGAGGGATGCCGATGTTTCAATCTTCCCGTATCCGAGGCTTTGAACAACGCGAAAAAGTAATATACTAGGACCCCCTGTTTGGGGTTTCTATTGATATCCCTTTGGAGGTTAAGAGGCGTCCATTAACCACCCCTTGTTGGGTCCTGGTCCATTTTTTGGAATACCCCAGACCATCTTTACGCTCAAGTGAGGGCTTCAGTCTGAGGCTCGTTGGCTCCACATGTTTCCTAACACAGAACATCATATCAACCTGGCCAACAAGGTAAGGATGGCAGATGCCAAGCTCATAGGCTCTGGATGGTCAAACTCCTGGGGGAAGCTCTTCCTGAGTTTCCCCCCAAAAGGACGGTACACTTCCTATAAAGCATCATGGACATGGATGGCTGGGCACGGCCTTTGCTATTCGGATTGAACATGGTCATCGCGAAGGGGGCGATGCTGATTCCGACTTCCATGAGCTCCGCCATGCGCGCGCTGTCAGCTGCCACACGCGCACGCGGGAAACGAGGCTCGAGGAGGTCCGTTTCCTCGAAGCTCAATGCCGACGCCTGGATGTCCGGGGGACCCGAGAAAGCGGTGTCGATCTGACGGGTGGGTGACGGGTGACGGTGGGGCAGCCTTCGATATTCGGAGCAAGTGGTGAAATGGAGAGAGCGTCTTTTGATGGGCTCTTTCATGTTTCTGGGAGCCTGTTTGACCCATGTCTGCAAGCACAGTATAAAGTTGATTACCAACAAGCTAGATTTCGGGAGTTGATTACTTATTTCAATTGAGTCGTGTTGTTTGTCTTTTTGGCGTGATTGTTCAGTCACGACAAATGCGAGACTTTGCCGGTTCTTATGAGACTTTGTTTGTTCACCCACGCAAATCGTCTGTACAACTGACGTGACTTGGCTGATATGGATGTCGCTCTTTTTTTTTGAATTTCGATCTATTGCAATTCGTTGCTATGATCCACTGACCTCAGAAATCTTGGCACAAATACAATTTGTTGTTATAATGATTGGCACTGCCTTAAGAACACGATATTTTATTATATATATAATATTTGATGTTTGACATAAGACCATCCAACCAACTTCACCCGGGCTTCCATTGCCAACTAAGATGCTGGCAATCACTGTAACGCTCCAAAAAATCGCGAACCATTCTCGATTCACACAGGTTGTCTCACCTCAAAACCGACCGAACCGTTGAGGTCTCCCCCAAACGACCTCGTCTCAACGGATCTCCCAGGTGCACTGCCGCCGCCTCGAAGAGCTCACCGTCGCGGCGGTCCGCACGCCACGCGAACGCCGCGAAGGGACGGGGACGCCGCGCGCGGTCCGAACGCGCGGGTGCCCAGCGAGCAGGAGTGATCGGCGGAGTTCGGCGGTCGGTCTGGTCATGGAGTTCTTTTTTTCCGGCACAAGGCAGTCATCAATGTACTGGTTCCACCTCTGCTTCAGGCATCTCATGTGTTCTGACAAAACACATCTTTTTTGGTTGGATATGTTGGATGAAGCGCGGAAAAGAGGCCAAGGTGGCCAAGGGACTGGGCCATTGACGCAGAAGGATATGTATGGATATGTGAGGTGAGCATGTTCTTTCTCAGTGTGCTCAGCAAAGGATGCCCTTGGGCCGGCCATGCCATTGCGGGTGTTCTTCTTTGGTAAAACATGGGAAGGATTTGACAAGGACCACATGCTTGACCAAGATGCTGCTAATTCTGGAACTCCAAAGTCTCCTAGATTTTGAGGGAAGCTAGGATCTAGATTCTAGATGGCACTCCCCAAGATGTCCCTTATGTATTCAGATCGTTTGTTTTTTTCCTTGCACCATCTACTCCGAAACCACACTATGGCTGTGGGTCATGGCATCAGGATACCGACCGGTTGACCGTGTTTCCGACGTAACGCGACCGGGTCGTTAGAACTACATGGTGGACGGTCGGGTGAACATGGTGGGGTCACGACCCATCCCCATTGGTCGCTCGGATTGGTCGTTCGCAGTCGTGACAAGCGTTGCTCTTTTTGAAGCCAAGTCAGATGCTGCCACCAAGTCTGACTCGAAAATGGCGGATGAGCTGGGACTGCACTGTCCAAACTCATACGAGAAAGCGCTGGTAGAAAATCCCGTAAATACCGGTATTCTGGATGGGTATATCGAGTCAAACCGGCCACGCTCCTCCCGCAGCGACATTCACAGAGAAGCGACTCTCGCGCAAAGGTTGCTTGTTTTCGCTGTGGATGTGGGCAAGAACCAAGTCATTACTGCCAGCGCTTCTTCAAGGAAGCTCCCCCCTGCCACCTAGGTAGCTAGGAGCGAACTTCTCCCTTACTGAATTATTGAGTAGGTATAGCCTCTACTTCATCAAGTAGTAGGAGAGGGGGCCGAGTGGACTTAAACAGTACACAGTACCTCTCTGGTCCTGCTCGTCTTCGTCACCCGAGGTCCGGCTGGTGCCAGGCAGGCTCTGTGGACGATTGAGGGCTGGAGCTGGAGCCAAAAAACCCTTTGAGATTTGCAAAACACACGAATGACACAAACCATGATAACCATGTTTGTCTTTATCCTTTTTTATCCAGCATCGTGAATCGTGAATGTGATGTTTCCTGCTGTTGGTATAGCAAATCTGGGTGATGAAGGGCGTGTCCCAGTAAACCAGTATAGCCGTCGCTAGAATCTGATCACTCTGTTTCGGCCTGCAACCTAATCATCATGATCCACCGGGCACTGGTCATTGGTCATAGGTCGCCTTGCAGATCCTTCATGATGGGTGTATCTAAAGAGGGAGACCTCCCAATTCGATTTGAAGGAAGAAGGATCATCGACCCTTTGGGCCCTTTGGGCCCATGATTCCGTTCGTTAAAAGACATGGGTTTTGTGATACATTGTGAGTCCCGAGAGTCCGTTCGTTAAGAGAACCTTGGCCCCACCGTCGACCACAATGGCCATTGGTGTTTTTTTAGGAATATTCCGTTCGTTCGAACACATAGCTTGGGGCCGGGGAACCGGAACTCCGCCCCATTTGGGCGGAGAGATTCACCGGTTCGATCCGGTGAGTTCACCTGGTGGCCGAGGCCCAGTAGAGGAACCTGAAGAACCCAACGGTGGGGTTGTAGAGGAACCGTCCTGGTCCAACCCCCCCCGGTGCCACGTGGCCCAGGCAACCTTGCCCGCCGCACAGGCGGCGGCGCCGGCGGCCGCGCAGCCCATGGTCGCATCCGGCCGGGCACTGAGAGAGAAAGAGCGTCCGACTTGTTCCCAGCGCGAGGAAGGAGAGACCTGCTTTGCGGCCGGTCTCAATGACTTGGTTCGAAAACCACAAGCGATTTGAGTGGAGAATTTCAGAACGAAAAGATAAGTATATACAGAGTTTGAGTGTTTCTATGTTCAGAACCAATACAGTGTTTGATGTCTTTTCTTTGTGGTGCCAGACCTTTCTTCAAACCTCGGGGGTGTCAGGTGGTCCAACCAAAGGAAGATCATACAACCGATGGATTCAACGCATCTATACATTGGGTCTGTCCGTTCTTACCTGCATGTAACAGTCAGTCAACAAGCAAATCATCATTTTGGAACAAGGCCTGCATCCTAGCCATCATCCACTGAAACCAGGTATTAGGATAGACCCAATCTATACACACTGTACTATACGCATATGGCATGCTTTCATTTTGTCCACACACCACCAGCAAACAGAATCCCTCCAGGAATCGCGGCCAGGAATCGCAGCTCCACTCCAACGGTGTTTCGTGGCTCGAGACTAGATGAGCCACATTTCAAAAGGGGCCTCACTGGACTTCTGGAGTCATCCAAGGTGCTCTTAATGCAAGAAACGCAGAAGAGGCAGTTGTCTGGAATTGGTTCCTTTCCTAGTCAAACCCAACCCCCGGAATCGTGAGTTGTCTGGACAGTCTACTACGACGCCACTCAACCGTGGCACAGATGCAGCACGCCCAACCGCCCAACCCACCCCGACCAAACCCTCCTCCACTAGCCATAGCCACCATCAGCACCCTCACAGCACCCTTTCACCCTTTGCACCCTTTGCACCCAACCCGACACCACTCCCGTCCAACACTTCCCACTGCAAGACCCATCATCCCGTCCAATTGCGTTGTCACGCTGTCCATGGCACTTTCTTCAGCTGCTGCGGTGCTGCGGAGTATCTCCAAAGGCAAAGCCGCGCCCCCCCTGCCACCGCTGCCGCAACAGCTGGGCGACGAGGCGGTCGACGGCCTTGAAGGCTGGACGGATGATATATATATATATTCATATTTAGTCATGAATCAGTATGTAATATATATATATATATACGAACTCCATTCATGGTAACTGGAACTCTGGTTTGTATCTGGGTCTTAATTTTGGGCAGGCCAAATGCCTTTGAGTTGCTATGGCTACAGCAAGAAAAATATATCTGTTGTTGCTTCATCCGGCGCTGCAACCAGACAACCATTGGTCATTGACCCATTTGAAGATCATCAAAATCACTAACCTCTCACTACAAAAGCCCTGGGACGTAACATTGTTTGTTCAACCTAGCTAAGTGGTGCTCAGCCCTCCTAGATTGTACAACAAACACACACACAAAGTTGTTCAACCCATTTGTGTACTGATTGGCAGGTTAACATCTCTATGATAAGGCTGCATAGATGTCAAGGGATCAAGCTAGGAGGATGGGCCACAGAGCCCAGCCACAGAGTTCAGGGGCGCGGCCAGTGAGTGTGGCCAGCTCTTTCTTTTCTAAGATAGAACCCCAACAGTAAACTGTTTGGGGAAATACATAGGTGAAATTAAACTGCAAGAAAGGTTTACGGAGACACTCGAAGCCCTTCCTCTGCTCCCAAAAGCAAGGTTCCAGCTCCAACAGCCAGAGTTCCAGTTACCCCATGAACTGAGTTTATACACATACTGTACTGATATATGATGTATAGATTCTTTTCAGCTCCTTGCGAGTGATGTGGTGACCCAAGCGTTCAGTTTCTGGCATGTCTATAAAGGCTTGTATGATGTACGTGACTGCGGGTGTTCCGGTGAAGAAGTGTGAGACCTGGGGGAAGTCAACGATTTCTCAGAACTCACTGAGACTCCCTCGTGCTGGGCCCCACTGAGCGCACGAGAGATTTGATCAAAGAGATCTCCGATTTCGGGTGCTTGAAGAGTGAAGAGTGTCAAACTTTTGTTGAATCCGCTGTAGGTTCTTGCTGCTGGAACTGGATATTCCGTGATGATCCAATTCCTATTGTAACCTTTAAGCAAACTGGACCTTTTGGTTGCTTGCCTCCAGTTTCTCACTTTGCCCGTGTACTTGGAAACTCCGCCGGTTCCGCCAGGTTCCGCCACCGCGGTTCCGCGGAATGCCTTGGGCGCGACCAGCGACGAGGACTTGTTGGTGGTGGCCACCGCGGCGTTGGCGGATCACACCCGAGTGCTCTTCCTGGACGTCGATGGCGTCCTGATCCGTGGCTTTGGATCGGTGGATCAGCTCGGATCAGCGAACTGGGCGAAGTGGGCGAAGGGTGTGGGATTTCTTCCAGAAGTGACGTCAGAGAGGTCTCTTTCTGGAACAAAACGACGCATGGGGCGGGGAGAAAAACCAAGGGGGAGACGATTCAAAGGATCTGATTTCTACCGTTTCGTTTCACTGTAGTTTAAAACCGATGGGACTCTATGGGTTGGAACTAACTGGATGGACTTTCGTCCCGCTCAGTGCAGAGCTCCCACGAGAGAGGAGGGGGCTCAGAGGGACAGACTATGTCAGACTTGCTCACACGGTTCAAGCTGGGCCGCTGCATATGTGTTGCACTGTGCAGGTCCAAAGAGAAAAACCATGCAGGGTCAGTTGGATTTTTTTCATGATTCAAAACATTTCGTGGCCGCATGACTCTCGACATGTTATATATGACACCCTACACATTTGACGCTGCCGCTGAATGCGCCCGGGATGAATGGCGTCAGTGTGACGTAGTTCTGATTTTGCACTGTTTTCTCCACTAGTTTGGTGTCGCTCACCAACAAGTGGCATGGGACGGACTTGGGTGTTTATTAAAAGAAGGAGACCGCTCAGTTCGCCCCCTGGACAACGGAAAATAGACCAAAACCCGTTGGTTGGGGGGTTGGTTGGGGGTCTTCCTATTTAAATCCCTATTTAAATTCCTATTTAAATCCTACCTATTTAAATCCTATTTAGAGACCACGGCAGAACGAACTCTTCCAGACTGCTGAGCTCCAAGGAACACGCAGAGCTCCAGAGAGGACGCGGGAGCTGAAACGAGTGCTGATGCGAGGGACGTTCTCATTGATGAATCCTTTTCGATCTAACGTAACCCTTTGGGATTAGGAGGATATAATGATATACAGCTATATACAGTGTTTGTTCAAAGTGTTTTCAATCACACCGTAACACTATGTTCGCGTGGCCATTTTGCCAGGGACTTGAGTCATTCTAGAGATAATTTACAGGTTTTCTCAATGTTGATTGATTCGCCAGTCGCTTGGATTCGCTCCGTCTCGATGGCTAGATCAGATGTTGTCCCACAAGAACACCTATGTCCATCAGAGGCTCAGAGAAACCTCTCTACGGCGTGCGACCCAGCACAGAGGTTTCTCTACGCGACGAAACGATTCTCACGCGATTGCAAACGTCTTTGGATGGAAAGTAGCGGCCCCTTATGAGACATATGCTTTCACACGGTTTGTGGTGGAATGGAAATATGTTCATTCATTTTCACACATGTTTTCACTCCCCTTTCTGTTTCACACGGTTTGTGAACAAACAGATTGAACATCCATTGCTGTCTCCATCCATTGCTGTCTCCTTGTTGACCAGGAGGATGCGAACCACCTACCAGCACCAGATATCTTGCAGAATCTGAAGTTTCTGGTGGATAGCACGCAGTGCAAGATCATCCTCAGTTCCACTTGGCGCTTGAGCGACTACAAGAGGCATCAATTGGATCACGTCTTCCTGCAGTACGGCTTGGCCATCAATGGTAGCCTGGCCACATCCACGACCCGAAGCACCCCATCCCCGATCCCATCCCCAAAAAGCACCAGCTCCTAGTAGTAAAGGCCAGGAGCCCCTAGTAGCGTCCTTGCTCCTAGTAGCGATGCCAGGAGCCCCTAGTAGCTTCTTGTTCCTAGTAGCGATGCCAGGAGCCCCTAGTAGCTTCTTGTTCCTAGTAGCGATGCCAGGAGCCCCTAGTAGCGTCCTTGCTCCTAGTAGCGATGCCAGGAGCCCCTAGTAGCTTCTTGTTACTACTAGTAAGGCACTTGTTACTAGAAGCGATGCACTTGTTCCTAGAAGCGATGCACTTGCTCCTAGTAGCGTCCTTGCTCCTAGTAGCTCTGTGGGCCTCGTGCTTCGGGGTGTGACGAGCCGTTGGCCGTCGACGGATGTCTTCGAGGGTGGAGCGTGGAGCTGTCTCGGTACACGTAACCGACCTGACCATCTTCGCAACCGACAGTTTTGGATGATTGTTTGGTCTGTGTTTGTTCTTGAATTCTGGGTGGTCGCTATTTTCTGTTCTTTCTGGGAAGATGCTCCTCACTCTTCATCCACTCTTTTCCATGGCGCCACGTCCCGTGGACACAGCGGGAGGAGGGGAGGAGATATGTCAGATGAAACCTGAATTACTATATATATATACGCATAATATAGTAGGAGTCTTGAAGTGAACAAACAGTGGATGTGTTTAGGGATACGTACAGTCACAGACGTTACAGACACATAGAGATTCCGAGATTCAATTCCAAACAAATTGGACAGCTATTGTAATCGAGGTACCATGCTACTGATACATTTTTTGGTTTTGGCTTGCTTTCCAAAAGTGGTTGGAAGCCTCTTTCACAACACAGAGCAAACAAGAACAGCATCACACACAAGAGAAATGATTCTGATCCTGCTTGGGTGCTCTTGAATATGGCTGTCTGCATTTGCTGTTGTTGCTGTAGTGGATGGACAGATGTAACGAATGGCATCCATTTTTGATCAAGGTGTCGTCCATATGCGCTTCCCACTTTCAGGGAAAGGAACCTTATTGACTAGGCTGGCGATAGTCGCCAGCCCACTTGGCAAGGTCCAGCTCTGTTTGCCTCCAATGACGCCAGCATTTTTCGTTTCCTACAATCCTGTATGCAATTAATTAAGTGTAGGAGCAAGGACGTTACTAGTAGCTCCTGGCCATACTACTAGTAGCAAGAAGCTACCAGGCACAAAGGGCATCGCTACTAGGAGCAAGAAGCTAGTTGCTCCTGGCATTACTACTAGGAACAAGGACGCTACGAACGGAACAAAGGGTATCGCTACCAACGGGAGTGATCGGACGTCACTGGTGGGAGAACTCGAAGTGTGGGCCCCTCGGCGCCCGGCGAACGGAACACATGGTGTGCGACCGGTCGACCACGCTCTGCGGGTGGTGTGGGAACGAATTGCTGATTCAATGGTTGCAAAGGAGAGCCGTCTGCCTCGGTGGCCTGCACCAAGCAGAAGAAAACGACAGCCAGTGTTTTGATTTGATCACTTTGGGGGCCGAAGGCCGGTGAACCAAGCGCTCGCAGCTGCTTGCCAGGCGCACAAAGCCTGGCACAGGGTTGCCAGCCAGCCGAATTGATCAGGTTTTGAGCAGTTAAGCGGGGGAAGCCGGCTATCAACGACCAGGGCAATGCCGGTCAAAGGCGTGAGAAGAGGAGCCAAAGCAGAAGAGGAGCCGGGCCTGTCGGTAGGTGCTTGCAGCAGGTGCTTACCTGCGGGTGTTTTCCACAGGCAACGGCCCATGAAGCCTAGCAGTGCTGGTGGGTGGCTGCGCATTTTTGCTTGCAGTAGGCACCAACTTCTCTCTTTCGTGAAAAGAGCTGGAAGAAACGGCCACCATGGACGACATTTGCGTGTGGCAGGCATCTGTGCTTTCCACAGGCCAAGACACATTTTGAAGCACTGGTGGGCATTGCTTGCGGTAGGCGTCCTTTGATTTCACAATAGTCTTGCGCCGGTGCTGCGGGGGGCAGTGGCAAGGTGCTGCCGGGGCAGTGTTTGGTCTGTCTATCCAGGGGTCGGCCTCGACCCGTGACAAGAGCTTCGCCGTGGACCTGCCTCGCCGTGGACGGTGCTTTGCCACGGTTTCTGCACATTTGCAGCATTCTGAAGCACCAGGTGGAGCGCCCAGGCCATATATATATATATATGCATAAATGTATATATATATATATACAAATAAACAAGACAAATATATATAAATATATATATATATACACACGTGCATACATCTATCCGAGTCACAGTTCAGTTCAGAACGAGCATGTCCAGTCTCCGGGCCACGGTTTTTCAGAAGCCATCGAGTGCGCGGTTTGGGTGCGGGGGCAGCGTGGGCTGCGTGTGCGCCACTCTGGTTTTCGCGGACCATCCAGAAGAAGGGGCAAGTGCAGAAGTGGGTCCAGCAGGGTCCCAACACTTGGTGGAACTGAAGCGTGCAACTGAGGAGCTGCGTGTGACTCGCTTCGAAGGGTTAAGCTGAAGCGCTGTTCCCAGGTCTCCAGCCCGTGGAGTTTAAAACGACCGGTTTTTGGCTCAGCAAAAGCAATTCTAGCATCTGCTCACACAGTGGATGGACAGTTTGCTGCTCCTGATCTTGCTCCAATTTTCTGTTCCCGGCTTACCTTCCTCTTGTTGCTGCTGCTTCTGTTCCTTCTTGTTGCTCTCACGGTTCAGCTGCATTTTTCCTAGCTTGTACTAGTCCATCTCTCAAATGAAGGCCTGGATGAAACATGTGCAATCTACAGGGGCTTCAGATTCTTACCTTTGGGTCGAATTGCCTGAGTGGCTGGAGTTTCGATCAGCTTGACCTCATTATAGTGTTACCCCCTCCTGAACACCGCTCAAGCGCAAAATTGCATGTATTTCACAGTGCTTTAACCACATGACATTTCGGCACCGTGCCCAACCCCCGCGCCGAGCCGGGCCGGTTGGGCCGGTGTGGTCCCTCTGTGCCGAGCGGTGCCCGTCCAGGTGCCACGCCCGATTTAGAGAAGACCTGCAAGGGTGATCGGGTGGATGAGATTCTGCTCTGGCTTGAGATGCTCGTTTGCGTTGTTCGTCTGGTGATGACGAAGAAGAACGGAACAAAAATCGAACCGTTGGGGGTTTTGTTGGTGGAGAACGGGAGCCATGTTTTTGTCAAGGGGAGCACTTAATAGGGCCCACTGTCAATGGAGTTTAAGGTAAGCAGGGGAACGAAAGAGAGAGAGAGAGAGAGAGAGAACAGGGAGATAGAAGACACAACATCTTTGCGAACCTACAGCACAAGATGTTTGTTTTCTTGGTACTTTCGGCCCTGGTTTTCTTTGACATTACACTCAACAGGCCGACATACCAACCCGCAACAGGCCGAACATCACCTCTTCCACTCCCAGGATGCACGCCGCGAAGTCGGAGCCCGTCCAAGCCTGGGCCCGGAGCCCTGGTCGGAGGCGTTCGGGTCGTGCGTTTCCAAAAAAAAAGGGTTGAAAGTGATTGAACGTCGCCCATATCTTCACCTGAAACCAGGCCAAATGTGGTCTTGTCCTGTCAAGACAGTGGTCAATGATTGGGTTCTATATAGGTGTTGATGGTGTACAATAAGGAGATGTGAGTGGTTTCTCTAGGTTGAATATGTATTGTGGGCGGCTGCAGGTCAACATGAACCGCCCAAAATGGTTGCACTACTAGTACTCGCTTCAATTTGAGATGAGGGGTTTCCATGGTCCTTGATGTTGCGGCTCATGTTAAATATCGGTTCCCAGTTCGTTTGATCTACAGTGGTATCAAAGTAGATGGCACTGGCACCACAAAATGTCTTTTATATAGGGATCCACTACTAAACCACCACACTTGGAGGTACATTTGTGCCATCGAACCTGTGAAACCACTGGTACGTCTGCTCTCTTCAGAAAAACCACGAGACATCACGAGTCGCGCCGTACGCGTCGCGCCTCGCCTCGCGCCTGGCGGACGACGACGACGAGACTTCTCTCGTCGTCAGTCCCAGGTGGCGGTGGATGACATGGACCTCTTGCGACAGAACCCTCGCCTCGAGGTGCGTTCCCGTCGGTGATGGGAGACGAGGCGTCGGTGGAGGTAACACACATTAGGGGCGGGTTCCGCGGAGGGCGCCGGGTGGGGGGTTCCGGTGAAGGTTTGGTTTCGGTGCGCGGCGAAGGTTCAGGAAGGATCCCTTGGTTCATGTGCGGTAAGACCAGCGTAGAGGACGATAACGTATGATCTGCCAAAAACACATATCATATATCCACAAAAAGAAACATATCCCTTTGCCAGTTCGGCCCTGTTGTTGTTGTCGTCGTTGTCGTCGTGGTCGTGGTCGTGGTCGTGGCCGTGGCCGTCGCCGTCGCCGTCGCCGTCGTCGTCGTCGTTTGCCATCTTGCCATCAGATTGTCTGTGCTTGGTGAGGTGGAGAACTTTGTCCACACCAGCGATGAGCGGGGTCTGGATGTGCCAAAGATGGAAGAAGCGTTGCGAAAGCTCTTAGCCTCGGGATGAGAAGTCTTCCAGCGCCTCGCGCTGAGCGGCGAAAGCGACGTTTCTGGAGCGGTCTTCATGTCAGACATCAAGTATAGAATAGTATAGAGAGGTTCATGAGTCCTCAACAGATCATATTATTCAGTTTCTTGTCTTTAAATAAACAAGCACAGAAGATTCAGTCTTTTTTTTGAACGGCATTGCACTACAGTCTTTCTATTGCACAAAAGTTTGTACCAGTTTCTTCCCAATTTCCAGATCATGGTTTCTCCCCCCAACCTCCCAACCTAAGAGGTATTCATAAGGTGAAGGGCGGGAATGAGCGCTGGCGCACCCTGCAGACTGAACTGAGATTCATTCCTCCCTTCGCTGGAATGCGCCTGTCAAATGAGAGCAGAGAGGCGGCAGGGCTGATCCCTCAGACAAAAGAAAAGTGGGAAGAGTAAGGTCATCATCTCAAACAGAAAGCGTATCGAATCGCACTCATTGACTCATGCATTCCTGTTGATTTCCTCCTACCCCCTTTTTTTTTGGGGGGGGGCCGGGTTTCCTATGATTTCCTTGTTTCTCAATCTTCTTATGACCCTCATCTTGAGTTTGACCCTTTGTTTGAGGGACTGTAATGCTACACGCCGCGGGATGTGGTGTACAGCGCGGCGGGACTGTACAGCGTGTGACGTCGAAGCAAAGAGAGTGCGCGTGTTGCTGTTCATGCACCGTGCGTGTGGTCCCGATGTATGCCAGTGGATACCTGATCAGCCAGGAACTGGAAACATCGTAGCTGACACCGAAACCGGGACTCTCCAAGTGGTTTGCGAAACTGTGTGCTTTTGCGAATTCGGACCGAGGGGACCGGCGACAGATTCCTTTGGCTGGGAGTGCTTCGAAAAGAATCCAGAAGTTGCGAAAAGAACCAAACCACCACCGGCAGTCCATCCATTCCATGTGAACTCCAAACTGCTGGGGATCCATGTCTCAAGATGGGAACCATGTGAACCACGTTAGGAGCGTGATTCTGGGAGCAGAGACGGACGCATCGTCACACACGTCCGGGCCTCCGGGCCTCCGGGCCCCGCCGGCCCCGCCGGCCAGGCCCCCAACGATCCCAACGCGACAGACGCATGGATCAGCTCCATGCGATTTCTGATATCACATCCACAGGGGTCCGTACAGGGTCTACGACTCTCAAACCCCATGCAGGGTCCATGACTCTGTGTTTTCCTTTCTGACAAGGTCATCAGATAGGATGGGAACTGACCACTGTTTTTTTGGGCCTCTCTGGAAAAGGTCTCATCAAATCCACAAAAACCCACTCTCGGCAGCGTTCCAAGCGAGCGAAACGGGCCGAGACTTTTCAAACGATCTGCGATTTCCAATGATAGCAGTACCAGTGTACTACCAGTATTCTGATGAGGTGTACGTTTTCAGAAGAGCCTGTGTGGTACTCCACACAGAACCTAGCAACCATAGTTTTGAGCTCCAACTCACAGGCTTTCTGAAAACACCCAACTCATGTGTACAGTTGGAGTTTGTGCCTCGGTCTCGACGGAGTTTCGAGTGGCATTTCATCCATCCAACCAATTTGTTGAGGATTTCTCGCTTGGGATTCCTGTCATGCAGACTCGATTTCATGAAGTCCTCCCAATTGGATGGAACCACCTTGTCATACGTGCGGTTTTTGCTCATCTTAATGGGGAGACCACCCGATCGCCCCTGGCTGGGTAGACAGGTCTATCTTCCGAACCTTCCAGGGGCTCGGAACGACTGGATTGCTGCCTTCCGAACCGTTCCGTGGCCTTCGTTTCCCGTCGCTGGCTGAAGCATCCCCAGGTGGTCGTTTCATCCCGGTGGCGTCCAGATCTGCAGCGCAGGCGTGGCCTCCGCATGCCCTGGGCGACCGGTCTTACGCCTTTACGTGTCGGTGGGGCCGTGGGGGACGTGGGGGAGTGACGTGGTCGCCTTCGGAAGGACGAGGTGAAACATGTTCACTTCGAGTACTCATTCAATCTCATTCAGATCAAAAGTGAATCGGGTGGAGCAGGTGAAAGAGGTGACTACCGGGCCGTGACTACCGCGTCAAATCGTCCAGGCAAGCAGTGTGTACCTTCGCTCTCAAAGCGCAGAGCAAGGATTGCCACACATCCACAAAGGGGATGTGGTTCGTAGGTTCGGGAGGCAGTGCTATGCTATTTTATTGAACTCAAGACCATGCACTTTTGATGGTCCAAGGTTTCATCCAAAGGTCGCGGCTTTCCGAAATGCTTGAGAAATGACAGCATCATAGTTCGGCGCCCCCGTCAAAAAAGAGGTGTTGTTGCAAGTGTTTTAGGCACAGGGGTCTTGAACTGGTTCTTGGCCCGGTTCGTTGGTTTCCCAAAGCTTTCGAATTCCCCGGCGGAGGGGGGGCATCATCATGCCGATCATTTCCACCGATGACGAACCCAACGTGACGAAACCATCCCTTGAGCCTTGAGGGATGACGAGGCTTCGAGGCTTCAAAACAGATCAAACGAAGAACACATGAATTGGATCCCCATGTTTTGGATCCCCCAACCCAAGACATACATTTGTTTTTGTGAAGATTACTTAATTGTTCTAAATATACCCCTTGTATCCCCTTGTCGACTCCTCCCCAAATCCCCAATCGAAACATCGTATACTTCAAAGCCCCTTATACAATCCGTGACATCAAATCGGACACCCAAATACCAACAAATCCCAAAGCATGAGACATTCATGAGCTGGTCTTTGTTTCCGTCGCTTCCCACGCACCGTCTCAGACTGTGGCCGTGGTCTATGACACCCAAGGCGGACCACGGTCTATCGCTCCAAGAAACCGCGCCGTTGAGAAAACTCGATGGGGTGACAGGGGGAAGCAATTCGCTTTGTACATTTTTTTTGGGCCCGATTGCACGTAAACGCAAGCGCACAACACTGCTTTGCCCCAGCAGAATTCGCGTTTTACGTGCATTTTAACCCACGTATGGTATGGTTTCGTGCAACCCACCCCGTATGGTAAGTCGAGGTCACCACATTGTCATCGACATCACAACATTGTCATCGATTAGTTGTGTGACTAAAATTGGGTGGGTGGGGTGGGGGTAAGTCGATTTCATAACATTGTCATCGATGTTGCAACATGGTCATGCGCAAACAAACTTGGATGGCGACCGAAAGACTTCTTGGACGTTGCTGTGGACAAAGATTGGCTTAGCTGAAACATGCTGAAGCCATATTGTGCGTAGGAAGTGGACATGATGGGTCCTTTTACAACGCGCCGGGTAGATAGAAACCCGCGCGTGGAAATCAGAGTCAAGAAAACGGAAAAGTAGAATACTTGTGGTGTTGAGCTGGTTGGGGTGTTTTGATTTTGTTGAGAGACTTCGGGGAACTGAGTGTTCATGCAGAGACATTTTCCCGAAGCTTTGGTTCAAACATGTCTGTGGAGGACGTTTGCGTGGTGTTGGGGCTCGCTCTATTGTTGTGAGTCTTGGTTGTTCGGTGTCCCTCTGATTTGATTGTCGGAGTTACAACCTTTGTTTTTGGCCAATACCTGGACGTTTTGAGTCGGCGGGGACAGGATACAACAGCTTCGTTTGTGGTTGAGACTTGTATGATCGTGGAACGGAGTTGGATCGACTGGAGTTGTGTGGCGAGGTACCGTCAGAGATTGTTTTTACTATGGTGGATCGAAAGTCACAAGAGATTTTGAGGACCTCATGTTCATGCTACGTTGTGGGTAGTCAGTCGGCGTTTGCACGGAACACGTGATATGGCCGCGGCTGCACGCGCACCTGCTGCCGGCTCCACAGCTGCGCTTGCCGTGGCGGCAGGCAATTCGTTGCCAACCACGGGTGTGGAACAGTCTGCCTTTGCGCATGACTTCTACAAACCATTCGCATAAGAACCATGAACCACGCCCTGTGCAGGTCTTTCGAGCACATGCAAGGCTGCTCGGCATCACCAAAGGAGGTGGACAGTTGGCAGTGCAAATTTTGCCTACTCGTTTGATTCAAAAGAATGCGGTGCCCCCAGTGGAGACGGCCAAGGAGGTCATGGAATCTGGATTGATTAACAGAATCCACAAAAGCAAGGGATCCGTGCTACATACAGATGGAGCATGCGCGGGCAAAGCTGCCTTGAAAACCTTGAAGTCGAAACTGAAACACCACTGGACAGTCCACGGTCGCAAAGAGTACATCAAACATGTGCAGAGTGGCCGAAATTTGTCCGGACTCACCGGAACCATGAGCATTGATGCTGCATGGTCGGCGTTGAAAAGGTTCCTGCCAAAGTCCACAAATAACAAAAAGAATCATAAGTTCAATCCTGCCGTGTGGCAATTGGTGTGGGCTTGGCTGTGGCGCTTTAATTGTGCCTGGACACGGCGAGAACCTTTTACAGTATTGAGATTGGCCATTTGGCAAAAGGTCAGCAGTGGCACAAGTACCAACGGCGCAGACGACGCGTAAAAGGATGAGGCTCTTGTGACTTTGCACATTGCTCCCCCCCCACCCCACCCCCCCAAAGCTTGAGGCGCCAGAAAGCTGACTTCACATTGCAGGTTTCTATCAACCCGATCCCTTTTACAAGGGATTTTGATCGTTGCTTGCGCGCGTTTATGACCAATCGGCAGGTTGTTTTTGCATGTTTTTGCATGTGATATCATGTGACACTGGGTTTTGCCAACCTTCTTTTGTGAAACATCCATGAGCCTCCTCATGAGTTAGACCGGACGGTTCACCTTGCGAATGATGCGAATGGCGAAGCATCCATTGTTCACATGGTGAAAGATGGACACCTTGGTTTTGTTTTCGGTGTTGGCATACACCAATCTGTCGGAGATGTAGCTATGGCCACGGGTCAAAGCCTAACAGGGGGGGTCCTCTGACACTATTTTGAGGTGATTTATGCAAGTACATGACCTGCAACCATGCCCCAACTCATTGACTTGAACATTGTATGTTGCCAGTCCAGCCCATAAACCAAAAACAAACGAACTCCACTAAGTCGACTGGGGGCACAACCCCAAACAAGTGACACCCAATGTAATGAAGCACTGGTGATTTCCTCACTCCTTGGCTTCTTGGGGGGGGGGGGCCAGAAAAGAAAAAATCAACCAACATGGCCCCAGGGGGGTTGTCAAGTTGTAAAGCTTCTCAATTCTTCTCGTTTCGACGGGCGACGCCTCATCCGGCCGAAAAAATGTGGACACAGTCGTCGAGGATTGGAACCGTTGATATATTACACGCATATATTACCTCAGGATCCAGCAGCTAGTAACTGTATCCCTGTTTGGAAATGAGTCCTTCTCCCCATTTCAGCTTCAACTTCCTATTTTTCGGCCATCGTGGACCAATGTGTTCTTGTTTTTGATAAGTAGTTCATTTAGTTCACTGTGCAAACCAGGTCGTCCTGCCCAAAAGGGTTGATGAACGTTTCTTTCTCCCAAGGCAAACATTCGTCACCTCCAAAAATCGTCACCTCAGAGTCGATGACCCGAACAAGTCGGACTTTACGCGTTGAGGACTCGAAGATCCAGGATTGAGGACTCTGGGACTCCAATTCGTTTTACGGTTACATGGGGGTCAATGGGGTCACGTCTTGGGACGGTACTTGGTTCAGTTACAGACCCAGAGCATGCATCAGAACCCGGTTCTTCGTGACATCAGGTTCCCAACAAAGATATCAACACATATCACCAATCACAGTTTGCCATGCGTGCAGTCCTCAAAACAGGATTTACTGAAACCACTGTGACCAAGATTGACACTTCCACCTACCCAGTCAGTTGGTTTTCCGAGAAATGCATCAGCTTTAAGAATGCTTTAAGCTTCAAAGACAAGGGCGATTTCGCCCTCTCACTGGTCGACGGGAGCTGTTCATTCAAGTGCTGGCACGTGCCACTCACGTCGAATTTGGATGAATTTGGACTAGATTCACTTGGACAATAGCACTGCACTGGATCTTAGTCCAATAGAACTGAGCGATGTTTCTCTCCACAGCAACCTGTTATACGTCGTACATCGTCGTACACGACCAGTTTTCTTCAGCGTTTGGCAACTAAACTCCGACGTAGGCCTTCCACAGCGCTCTGCTTCCTGGACCATGCTGCCCCTGGGCTGATGCTTTTCGCAATTTCTTTTCAACTTGTCTGACTGGTATGAACGATGCATTACTGTATTTCTTTGGGAGGAAGTGTGCACCACTATCCAAATGCTGTTGAGGAATATATTTCGAAGCCATTTGGAATAGCCAGTGTAGACACTGGAATTTCCAAAGATTCCTATCAGAGCCGTGTGGGGCATGGAGGTGTTTAACTGTTTAACCCATCAAATTGCTGCTGCAATCGTGACCGCAAAATACATTCATCCAAGAGTGTTCATCTCCTCAACACCAGTGGTTTCAGAGTAGATGGCACTTGCACCCCAAGTTGTCCTTTAGATGGGGGGTCCACATAAACCACCAAACTTGAGGGTGACTTGTGCCATCGAAGCTCTGAATCGCTGTATGTGGGTAGTACCATGACAGGTATGCATGTTAGGTCCTGCACCTCTTTATCAAAGCACTGGGCCTAAAGCCAGCAATTTATTCTGAACATGTCTCGTGGCCTGTTGGCGCGCGCGTCTGGCGCGCGGGTGAGAAGTGCTGAGGGTCATGGTATGCCAAGAGAAGTACCAAGTATCCAGACGCGTTGGTAAAGAACCTCAACTTGGATTTCAGGATGTTGAGCCGGGTGAACAGCATGGACTTGTGAGGGCAGATTGACAGAATTTGTTGACATGCCATCCTGACCTTCAAAAGCATGTACAAAATGCCTCACACCTGCCCCACCCTTGATCGAATATGCATGAATATTATATACACGTTCGGCAAACAAGTAACAAGACACCCCACCAGATGGAAGAAAGATAGAAGAACTTGACGACCGCAACATACCTCAACTATCGCTACTGCTTTTGGAGAGTGCAAGTACGCTTCCACTGTCGACAGTTGCAAGTACAGAGCAGGGATTGTGGTGAAGAACCAGGCCTTCCAACCCTCTCGCACTCTTCGATCGTCTGCTCGATCGAATGCTCCAGCGACAACGGATCGCCCAGGCCGACGCGCACGGCCGGGGGGGTCCAGTCTTTTTGATCGTTGGGGCCGGGTTGGGTTTGAGCAGACCGAGAATGTGCTCTTTCTGCAGCCAGTCTCCTAGTGGGTTGGTGGATAGATCCGTCCATGTCCTAGGCAAATCTGTTTGATCATCTTGGAGTCTACAAAGCACAATGCCAGAAAACATGGACATCCTGCTGCGAGTCTTTGAGAAGGCCAACCTAAAGTCAGCCGTAGTGATCACTGGTTTCTGGGCAAGGTCTAAACACGGCAGAACATGACAGGTAGTTCACTTTACAGGGCTATGGTTACTATTTACTAGTTCATTCTTTCTTCAGAGTTTTGGGGCATGAAGGCACAGGCTCAAGTCTCACACAGACACAGCTACTGTCAACGAACTCCTGGAATCAGAAACCTGTTTTGCAGGAAGACTTGTGAGCAGCTCTGTTTGCCTTCCCTGTTAACCCCGCACGCGAAGTGCCATCCAGAAGGCAACCGGCGACACCGGTGACCCTTCCAGGCGGCACCGAAGCAGGGCTCCTTGCAGAACCTCAGACACGAGGCGATTCGACACGTTTCACGCGGCGACGATGGGTCGATCGGGCCGACGAGGTCGGTTCTCCAAGTCTGGCGGGTCTGGTAAGCACAGACCGGGCTGCTCGCTCGACCCAAGATGACTTAAGGTGCTGATGAATGTCAATCATTCTTCCGCGGATTCTGCGGGATTGAAGACCTTTTGCAGTGCAAAGGATTCACCTTTGAGGTGTTTTCCCGCCCGCACGGGGCAACATGTGTTGACTTAGTAGCAAGAAGCTACTAGTAGCAAGAGCATCGCTACTAGAAACAAAGGGCATTTCTACTAAGAACAAGAAGCTACTATTTAGTAGCTCCTGGCATGTGGTTTTCTTGGAAATTGCCTGGTGCTGCCAGCCGCCAAACCAATTCCGCAAGTCAACCCACCCCAAGTCCACCTTTAAGGACAGCTCCATGTCACCTGTCTCTTTTTTTTCGGGTCGGTCTGTGAGATATTTCAGACATACAGATTCGTAAGGGACCCTTAATATTTTGCTACTTTCGGACCACCAGGGACCAGGGACATGGGACATGTTGAGATATGTTGAGATGAATACAGCTTGTGCGTTAGTCTTGTAGCCTAGCGCTCGCTATCCTCACCTGTTAGTCGCCGTGTGAATTCTTGCTGCGCCTGTAACCTGTGGTTCTTCATGTCAATGTGTTCTTAGAAAACATCTTTCCACCATTAAAAGCTTGGTTGCGTCCTTCTTGGGAGATGGCCGCGGCCTGGTCCAAGCCGCAATAGTTTTCAAAAGCAAGAGGACCCTCCACAAAGGAGCAAGAAGCTACTAGGAACAAAGGGCATTATGCTATAAGTAGCCGCTACTAGTAGCTAAGGCATTACTACTAGTAGCAAGGACGCTACTAGGTTGGAGGGGTCGTTTCTTTGCTTTTTTGAGGCCGCCCAAGCCGCTGACGCACCGGTCGGGGACATTGTGACGGGGACGATTGGGGTTGTTTTGTGGTGATCTTTCTATCAAATCTGGATGAGTTTGGTAAAGAAGTCTATGAAAAGAGTATGGCCAGTATGGCTATTTCCTGGCATTGCCGATAGGCGACCCCTCGATAGCCTGAGATTTAAGATGAAACAATAAGCCATACCTATCGCGTCACTTCTTTCACGCGCATCTTGGAGATACAACACCTGCAGAACCAGTGCTGCTGTCTATGCCCCTTTGGTATGGACAACTTTTGTCTCTCACCCATGTGCCACATGGCCAAAAAGATCCAAAAAGCCTAGTCGGATGCTTGTTTAAAGGATGGGCAGAATGACTCGCAACCTGAAGGGTTGTATAAATGCAAGTCTTTCCCAAAATAGCTAGAGCATGCTGCTATACCCGTTCTTCAGATAGGACATGGGGTCATTGGAAGGCTTGTATACTTCTATTGAGCTGTTTCGTTTTAGACTTCTTAGTGATCTCATGTGGTCTCTCAACAGATAACGTTCAGTATATAGTACATATTCCATCAGGGCATTACCTTTTGGCCCACTTCACTCTGCTGAGTGGACCATAGACCAAGTTGCTGTTAAATTGTTCACTTCCAATCATGAGGGGCTTTCTTCACTTGCCGAGCTTGCATGTCCGGCATGTCCAAGATCTCACTATTCTAAATGTACCATTCTAGATAAATCGTCCTTCAAGAGTTTGCAGAAATCGAGCCCTACGACGAAATGAAACCGTCCTGAGTTCGTGCCCGCGGCTCGGGCCGAGGTCCTCTTTAGCCCCTCACAGGACACGGATGGACCGCACGTGAGCCGCTCCTTCGTGGACGGTGGTTGGATCGGCAGGTAAGCTCCTGGGTGGCACCGAGAGAGAAGCCAGGGTTGGATGTTTTCCATGAGACTCAAAAGGGTGGAAGGTGATTTGGAGAGACTCATATGTCTTCTGGGTCATGTTGATTTTCGGACCTGAGGGACAGAACAGAATAGACTGTACTGAGTTGACTCGAGTCCGGTTTGGTCACAAGTGCCATGGTGGACGTGGGAGAGCCGCAGACGACCATGTCCATGGTCCACCGACCCGGGGGGAAGTCAGAACCTCCAGGCTTTCATCCACAGTCATCGACTCGTTTTCATCCTCCGAGCCGCAAGGAGATGCTCCGTCGGGTCTACTCTGCACCACAGCTTCAGGCAGCCCGTTTCGAAGCCGCGCAGCTTCTACGGCCTAAAAACCGGGCATCGCGGGCGGTTAATTCTTTGGGGCCATGGAGACCAGGCTGCACTTGTCCTTCTCTGGCTCGAGTTGGTTGCTCAGCTTGTTTAAAGAAGATTCCACACTTGGCAGGGTTGGGAGACATTCACATGTGGGTACGCAGCGCGCCAGCGCTCTGATGGAAACAAGGGCTGCTTTCTCCACAGCCAAGTCTTTTGTTTTGAGAGCAAGATGAACAGTGAAGGAGCTCCACATTGGTGCCACTCCCCGCATGCATGCTTCAAAGGCCAACAAAACAGGCGAGTCTTCCTTCGTCGCCAAAGTTACCAAGCACTGGGCACGAATGGGGGAGCTACCCAATGCGTGTAGGAGAACAAGGACGAAGTTGTATGACAATTGGTTTTGGGATGTTGTGGGTCCAAACCTCACCGCCCACGCTTAAAATTGGTTGTGGGTCCTATAGCCTGGGTTGCTATATAAATTGGGGAGTTTTTGGAGAGGGAGAGCATGCATTCCACCTTCCACCCCTTTTTGGAACTCCACGCTTTGAGTCTCCAGCATGAATTCAAGAGATGCCTGCGAGAAGAGCAGAAACTTTTCTTTTGCCGAACCTGATCGCATGTGGGGTGTTTCATGGTGTTTCCCTTCCTGAAGAGCGAAAACCAGCGTCACTGGTGCTCCTCTCACAGGTCTCCACCGAGCGCATGTTCCAATCCCGCGTCGAAGGCCGTTTTCTAGCCGTTGAGAACAGGTGCGTCGATCAGAAGGCAGTTCAGAACCACTGTTTGGTCAGAAAGGTTTATATTCAACCTTTACTTCGGGATGATTGAACCCACTGGCTCATCTTTTTCATGAGTTGAAACCACCAACCAGACAAGCAAGAACACGTTCCCATTACTCAGTGGGTCAGTGAAGTTTACTCAGCGTATACCATAGTCATGCCGGCAAGAGACTAGACCAGTCTTCACTCAAGGCGTATGGTGGCCCCTGAAGCGCGACCAGTTTCCTCAGCAATACAGGGCAAGTTTATGCAAGTGTCAGTGTTATGGCATTCCATCTCACTGTGAGAGGGTGCCTTGCAGTCTGTCTGGTTAGCGCAACATTGTTTTCCTAAGCCTAAGCATTTTGTCATGCGAATCTCTTCGTGTTTGTTGGGAACGCAGACTGGTAGGCCAAGCACCTCTATCAGACAGAGAGTGTAACGTAGACTGATTCATAATTTTATCCCCTAGAATATGGAGATGTAAAGCCATTCTGGTCGTTTTATATATTTAACAAGCAGTCATCGCCAGTTTCCTCGCCAGTTGGTCACCCAATCAGGTCACCGCAGTCGTCCGACCCCACCTCAGGGCATGTTTCATCTCGCCACTACGGCGGGGCCCGAGCAGAAGATCCTGAGGCGGGGGGGGAGTTGGGGCAGAACGAGGGGCTGAGAGGGATCTTGAGGAGGGCTGTGAGGGATCCAAATGGGGAAGGATCTTCATGTGCGTGTTCGGTCATCTCTGTTCAGTGTGACCGCCTCAACATGTCGATCGGTTGGACCTCCACTGGGGTTCTACCAGGAGCCTAATCTAAATCTCTCGAAAGGTTGCTTTATAGCCTCCTTGTATTCGTTTGAGGCAAGGAGGCACAATAGCAGGGGGCCAAGCGCAGCTTGTGGCGGCCGTCGTTTGTCCTTAAAGGGGTTCGTAATGGTTAGTATCTTCTCCGCCGCGGCTGACGTTCATGGCCAGGCCATTCGACCGCCGGGGCATGGAGTCTCAGACCACTGAGAGCACTGGCGGAGTGTCAGGAGATGCAAACTGGTGTGGCGAAGCTGTAGGGAGGGTTCACCACATGTCTCACTCTTTGAGACTTGTAACACTCGAGTCTTGTAACACCATGTGTGTGGCCGGAGTTGTCCGGAGGAAGAAGGTGCATTGTTAAAAATCCCCCCAAACACAACACATGGAGGATCATTCTCATGGAGGGTTTCCAAACCACCGAAGAAAGAAACAACAAACAAACACAAAACACATACACAGACAAAAAAGACACGACACATATACTGTATAAACATATGCTAGACACACACACACACACACACACACCCCAAGAACTTTAAGGACACATGAACATACACAAAAAAACACACGAAACACACACACACACAAAAAAACATAGCAACAACACACACCCATCCTCTCAAAGGTCTCTCCAGTGTCCAGTCACTGTGGCGGGCTTGAGCCGGACACGGCGTCCGACGAAGGAGACGAAAGGGGGTGCGAATCCCGCTGGCACGAAGCGGTGCAGTTCGAGCAAGATGTTTGGAACATGTTCGAACTAAGACAAGACCAGGTTCTTGTTCTGGTTTTCGTATTTGGAGTTCTTGTTGGACAAGACCAGGTTCTTGTTGAAGCCATTTGAAGCCATCGGAGGCCTGGACACTAGCCATCTCTAGAAGCTAAACTTTGGGAGACGTGATGGGGTCTTCCATGGTGCGTTCTTGAGACCTCCCAGTTCTTGAGACATCGTTGAGGTCTCAGAGTTTCTTCTTGGTGTTCAGAGGTCGCAAACCGAAGCAAAGCTAAGACTCGAAGTGCTTCTTGCGCTTCTAGCAGTATTGTTGCAGGGGATAGGCTCGATGGCTGAAGTGACCCGCAAGTTGAGTGGTTCAATCCATGGACCCCATCTTTTCCGCAAGACCATCCATTGGGGTCTTGTGCCATCGAACCTCTGAAACCACTGGATGGCACCGGCGCCGATGTCCAGGTTCGGGTGGGCCGCCCGGGCCCTGAGGACGGACTTCACAGCGGCACGAGTGGCCGCCGGGTGGACTGGTCTCTTTCTCTTCTTCCCGTTGGGGAGGTCTCCAGGATTCGAATACACACCGACCCATGTTTTTAGGGTTCATGACGGCTGATGGGTTCAACACGAAATGGCACGAAGTGGCCGGGCAGACCGCTTTAGACCGCTATTCAATTCCTTTACTCACCGGGATCCTTTGCACAAGTGTCACGGGGCGCTTGGCTCTGAAATGCCAAGGGGGTTCAATTTGCTCCGTTTCGAAGAGAGCCACCTAAGGAAATTGGGAAGAGGCTTCCTCAAGCCCAGGTGGTTTTCGACAGTTTTACGGCAAATGGACATGACACGTTTGTCTTCCTGCCCTGACGACATGTACTGCAGTCATACAATTAATCCAGCTCACTGCCATTGGAGGTCGTTTAGATCCGTTCAGCGGACTTTTTTTCCAAGGTTGCTATTGAAACCTCAAAGCCTCCAAGCAAGTTCTTGCTCGAGCTTCTACAGTTGATCCTTGAATATCCTTGATAACTTTCAAGAAGACCAAGAACCCACACTTAGTGGTTCTTTGTTACCTTTGGGTTCACGTTTCGCGGGGTTGCCTGAGATCTTGACTCTTCTCCACTGGACCGTTTGTGAAAGCACGTAGCGACACAAGGGTTGCTTTTGTCCCTGAGATCCTCGATACGCGGCACGGTCCAAGGGACCCGATGCACGCCAGGGCCTTCCAACAGGTGGGAAGAGATCAATCAACTCTGTGAGCATGGTCAGTTGTAGATTGTTGTAGGACAATTGTGAACTCTGCATTGAACCTTCGCGCCACATGTTCCTAGACTGCTGCCACACAGTCTCCGATCGCCGATTGTTCTTTTTTCCTTAAGGCCCGATCGCGAAGGTAGGGGACCGCAAGTTTGACATGAAACTATATATATCAAAGTTATATATATATATATATTATATATATATTATTTTTTAAAATTAGGCTCCTTGCCGGATGAAGACTCGTTTTCTTCGATGCGGAGGATCCACCGTGGTCACCGTGCCCGCAGTGTCTCGCGTCCGCGCGCGCGGAGACTCCCGTGCCCGGCAGGTGCGGCCTTCGTCACGCCGGGAGCCTCGGTGGAGCCTCCCGAACACCGCAGGTACAAGGACACCTCCCAAGGACGCAAGAACACTGTGTTAAACAATGGATTCGACCTGTTTCTGTCAACTATTGCGTTTTTTCTGTCAACTTGTGGCTCTGAAGGTGCGAAGAACGGACGATGAGGACGGGGAGGCTTCAGACCAACGTGGTTCTGAAGAACCCACCCACAGAGGGATGCACTGCTAGTTTCTTCCGCATAGGGCCCCTCGGAGTGGCTGAATTCATTCTCTTCATGTATAGTGAGTATAGTGGTCCCCAAATAGATGAACGTGATCTACTTTTCTATTTATCGCTCTATACAAAGAATCTTGAACATGCATGGCAAAAACATGTAAAAACCTCTTCAGACCATCAGACCGAGGGGCGGTTGCATTTCTTCATCAACCGTCTGCATGATGTTTCATGTTTGAAAAGAACAAAGGTGGACACATCAGATACGGCCCGCTTCAGCAGCTCGGGCCGGTTTCAACACCAGGAAAACGACCGGGGGTTGGCGTGAGGCGCTTTGAAGCAACTCGGGGACGAGCGGCTTGGATGTAGAGGTCGTCCGGCTGGAGAGGTCATGGGTCCGCCAACTCCATGGGCGTCCAGTTGTTGGAGAGAAAGAGCAAGTGTGGGAAACAGACCCCAACAATTGGAGCTAAATTGTTGGGAAGGGTCCAACCTTGCTTGTTTTTGAGCTATGCGCGGTTGAGAACATCAGTCAGTCTTGGGGAGCTTGTTTTGCTGGACCAGAAAATCTTATCTTCAAATTGGCTGATCGGCAACCAATTTTGGGCAGCTCAAGATGACCTTTCAGGGCTTGTTTCTTCAAGATGCGAATCAAACACCTGCCGTATGTTTTGTGAGTGGGATGCGATGCAAGTGATGCAGCAGCACCAGCTTGGCTGCCTCCAGCAGACTCTAGCAGAACAAGCTTGGATTCTTGGTAACTATTGTCTTTTCAAACCTTCTCAAGACCTTTCCTTCAGCATCCCCTGCACACACCGCTACCCTAAGGCGCCTTGAAGCTATTTCTCGCTGTGTGCCAAGAAGGAGACGGTTTTTCTGCAGTTCCGTCTATTTGTAAGCTTCTTGTTTACATTTGCTTCCAGATCCATTTTCAGACGATGGGAGCTGCGCTTGGCGTCCTTTTCGACACGAGCCCCCTGGCCCTGGCCCGAACCGCCGCTCCGTCAGGGTCGGTGAAGCCACACGGACCGAAACCCACATAGCGCGCGGATGTTTCACGCCGGCCGGGTGTCGGTGAAAAGGGGCGCCGGAGTGGGGAAGGGAGCAAGGGTTGGTGAGATTTTGGATTTGGAGCTCGCCGAGACGGTTTCTAAAGGGTTGGAATTGTGCAGTCTTCTTTTGGTTTGGGTGGAAGACCCAGAACAAGGAGATATTGTGTTCCAGCACAAATACGATTTGGGGGAGCTGGTGAGGATTAACCATTAGCTCAGGAAGCGTTTGAATTGTAGCATTTCATTGACATTCGGCAGCCGTAGCATGTTAGCACATGTTAGCACCTCCCTTTTCTAGCAAATGCAAACCACATGTTTGGTAGGGATTTGAATGAACAGAGTACATACGAAAAGGTTGAGAGACAGTATCAGCTATTTGGTCCCCCACAAAGCATCAGTCAGAGCATCACTGTGGCAAACATCATATTCCCCATGACATGCACAGGCAGCTGTGCATCTACTTATTAAACCGCATGTTTAGAGGTCGTTATATTATATCATATCCCCCTTAAGATCCTTAAGACTCAAGGCACTTGGCTGGAAGTGTTCATGCACATCTTCCATAGAAGATGGAAAAACACCGAGTGAACCTGACTTTTGATTGATCTGCACTGCGAAGCTGCAGTGCTCCCCTGGTTGTGATACTTCCGTTCTGCATGGAATGCAACAAAGAGATATGGAAGATGGAACGACCATGCGACTGGGCTCACAGCGTACCACCATCGCCGCTGCGACGCTGCGCTGCACGCGGAGCCCGCGCGGCGCGATGGACGGGGCCTTCAGCGACAGACGTGGACGGTGAGGGAAGACGGTCAATTCTCTCTCTGCTCTTTTGATTGTTATTGCAATAACAAGACAATCAGGATACTTCTCCAGAGAAATGCCTCATGTGCCTGAAGAGGCTAGTCGAGTGGGCTGGTCCATGGGAAACGAAGAAACATCACATCGGATGGACCTGAGGCCTTGAAAGTAACCCATCGTCCGTCAAAAAGCTTTTCACCAGACACAGCTTTTCACCGTCTTTTTGGTGAACAAAGCACGCCTCCGGCATCGTGGGGGCCATTTTTTCCAGGCTCAGAAAGGGCCCAAGTGTGCACTAAAAGAGGACGAGATTGAGTTGGGTTTCCACCCAATGCGGAATGACTTGGTTGGGTTGCAGATGGTTGCACCAAGATCCACGGGATCAAACGTCCAGGGAAAGCCCGGTTCTTCCAAGAGGCATATGGCTGCTGAAACAGATGCGTTGCTGATCTCTTTTGAACCCACTGTACATATACATGTGCTTTTGGGATAGATCAACTGATCCGCAAAGGGCAAGAGGGTGGTCTTTTGCGAGCCACTGACTGAGCTCTAAGGCACGCGTGGCTTGTGTCCTGGTGCTATCCTCAGCCTTTTCCCTGAGCTGTGAAATGCCTTTTCGCTTGGCGATCCTTGGCTTTCGTGCACGCGGCCATTGACAGGGTCCATGCAATCGACAGCCGCGCTGAGCTCTCCACTTTCATGTCGTTCATTGATTCATGGACAGATTTCTCGGGTCTCTCGATGTGGCGAAAGGGTGAATTTCACGGTTATGCCTTGTTCGCTTTTTTCCCTCGGACGCGGAAGATGACACGACCAGGACCAAACGGACGAAACCAGCGAGTGAAGACACACATGAAGCCGCGAGCGTGAAAGGCACTGTCGTTCCCGGGCCGGTCCACTTGAGGCCACTCTGGCCAGTGTACTACTGGCCAGATGGATCTGCAGGGGACCCCAAAGGCACAGGAGGTCTCGACCTCATCCACGCCCCGGCCTTGACTGGATTCGTTGAAGAGTTCTGATGGATCGGCCTCCAAAGGCCCAGTCCCTCCGGGTGAACCAGTCCTCGCAGGTGCACGGTACCATTGCCCAGACACGACACGTCTGGGACTGCCATGTCGGACTGCCGAGAAACAGCCAGGGGTGGTTGGTTGGTTTTGGGGGGCCGGGGCGGCAGTCCGAACTGGCAGTCCCAGACGTGTCGTCTAACTGCTGGGTGGTGTTTCCATCCTGCCACCGAACTGTCTGCCTTACCGATCCAGAGACATAGATCCCGCACCAGTTGACCCATTGAGAAACGATTGGGAACACCTACTGCAGGGTCCATTTGGAAGATCTTGTGAACTAGAGACCTGGCTGTGGGTGAAAACGTACTCACTGATTGACCTTTGAAAAGGAATGGATTCCTCTATAGTAAGAAATGCCCAAAGGATATATGGAAAGGAACAGAACTGAAACCACCATGGTTTGGTGCCGGAGGTTTTAACTCACAGCCACTTAATCACCCATTTAGCAGATACTGGCATCCTGGGCAGAAGTACACTGATACACCATGGGTATATTGTGTAACATTTCGCAGAGTCTTGTCTGGAGAACCACAGCTGAGCTATCTTCTCCAAAGGTACCCTCAAAAATGGTCCCTTCAAACGACGGTTTCCTCTACCAACCGGGGTGATCCACGTGTGCCGTGTGATGTATTCCGTGTCAACTAAGTGGACGGCTTTCGATGGGTCGGTCAGAGGCCGAGGCAGAGGCCTACACCACTCGCATCGCATCTGGTGCCAGTGAAATGCGACGCAGAAGGTCTAAAAACCGGTGCTGGAGTAATGGCTAAGGGGTCTGCCACTGGGTAGAGGGACCGTGGTCCTACGGCGCCTCCCAGGTACGCCCAGGCCGGGGGTCCAACGGCGACTTGTGCGACTGGCGACTGGCCGAGTTCGAAGCGAAGAGGATCCAATAGTAATGTTGTCCATTTGTTCCCTCAAATGTCTGAGACTCTTAGTCTGAGACTCATCTTCACTCAAAGTTGGAATCACGGTGGATCAAATAGGCCCATTCTGCCCATGCAGTCGTATGTGCTTCGGTCAACATGGGCCCGTGGCGTCCTCCACAGTGGCCATGCTTCAATCATAGCATCGCCACCGGTACACCATCCACCACCAGACACCGAGCGGTTCAAGGTTGACCATGGATTTTGTTTTACCCCAAAGTGGCAAAAAACTGACCTCCTCGAGGATCTCGAGGACAAATCCGGAAGTTTCGCTGTTAGGTCCCTAGGTGGAGCAAGGACGCTGGATCCATCTTCACCACGTGAGTGCATTGCCTCCGAGGCGCACGGAGACGGAGCTGAATGCCTTCGTGCTCCCGACAGCGAGGCCGCTGACTTCGGATCGACCGCGAAGCGGGAAACGACCGCGACGCGTCGACCGCGGACCGGTGTTTGTTCGACCGTCCAAATGGGAGACCGAAAACCCATGGGATGCAGAGTAAATGGGGTGCGCCCTGCCAGTACTTTGTTTGTTTTTGAGACAGGCCCGATGGGACCGGAAGAATTCCGTCAGGTGTTGGGAAGATCAATTATACTAATTAGTTCCCCAAAAACCAACCTAATGGTTTTCATTCCATGGACGAAGACATATTTGTTGGTGGCTATGTTTGTTCAGTCCCGGTTCTCCAGAACGACCTGGGAAAAGTTCTGATGCTGAGAGAAGACTGACAACTCATATTCCCATAATTGTGGCACTGGGATGCACTGGGGTGTGGCAACCCTTCCAGACCGTTGATTCAACGCATTTCTGCACTGGGGTGTTGCAACCCTTCCAGACCGTTGATTCAAAGCATTTCAACCCCTTGTCCCCCACAACAATCCTCAGAGTGAGGTCAAACCTTTACCAGCTGACAAGTATAGAACATTTATGACTGTTTTTGTTTATGAACACCTGACTTGTTTTAAAAAGATCAGATCTCAAAAGATATCCCTTGTGACCTTCCTATTCACGGGGAGATTCATTTGTCTTTTTCCCCCATGCCCTCCGCCTCGGCACCTGCCCAACTTGGTTCGGCACCTCCCCATGTCTCGTCCGAAGTGACCCGCCTTCCTCGATCCACGCCTGACCCGCCTGACCCTCGATCCACCACGGGCACACCTTGCACCTTCCGAGCCGTCAGGACACCCGGTGCCCCGCCCCTAGTGAAGCAGGACGGGTCACCCGTGGACGGGAACTATGGGCGTTTGCACGGACGAAACGGTCGTTTTTTTGTTTGGAACGGCTGGTTATATCCTGTTACATTTGATTACAAAGATCAGAGATGTGTTGCTGATCGCTTCCATGGCAAGACTCAAATCTGAGCTACAAAGAGGGGCCTTTCCTCTTGAATCGCACTCTTGCATTGCTGAAGCTTGACTGTGGCTGGAGCAAGTCGTGGCACAGAGGACATACTGTGATATTCATTTCAGGTACTGTAGTGCAGAATGTTTAGATTTTGCACATCATCTTTACACAAACATGGGTTGTGAACATAGCCCCTGACAAAGCTACTCTCTACCGCTTAGGACCACCGGCACCGGTTTTCGTTTTGAAGGCGTTCCACTGGATGTGCCGAGACGCGACTCGCTCACCTGGAGCCGCATCGCTCGGGTTCCAGAGCCGCAGCCAGGCCTTCCAGTCGCCCGCCGTCGGGGCACCCCAGAGGACCGCGAGGTTTAGGAGGCGCAGGAGGCGCTCAGCTGCGGCGCGGGCTCAGCTGCTCCATGTGTGAGCCCGGAAGGTTTTGGAAAAAACACCACCATCAGATCCAACGACATTGATCTATAACTTGAGATGTAGTGTGTGACGATCTCGTGGAAACTATGCTGTTCTGCCTTTATCAACGTCCCCAGGGACTTGTTGAATTTTTTGAAATGATTATGATATTCTATGTCTAGAGACTGGAAGAGGTCTCCAACGGTGGAAGAAGGGTCAGACTCTCCTAGCTGCCAGAATGGAAGAGCCAGTAAAACTGGGACACCAATCTATGAATCGGTCGCCCAAAAAAACCGATGGCTTCATGAAGGGTCGTGCACTGCTTCGAGCCTGCCTTCCACCCCCGGTGACCGGGCCCCGAGCGGCCAAGATGGGGCCAAGCTTCCAGGCTGGGCCAAGCTTCAGCACCAGCGGAAGGACTAGCAGCTGGGCCTTCTTCGGCCTTTGCCACTTGGTAGCAATTGGATCAATACTAACAAACCAAAACTATCCAAAACTCACAAACCAACTCAGACAGAGCTGCGATTTTGGTGCTTGCTATCTTGGCTGGGAGAGGGTCTTTTGCAAAACAACCCTGAACTGTCAGAGGAAGTTGGGGTGATCATCACGTTCCTTCACCTTCTATGCTCATCCTTAGGAGGGTCACTCAACTTTGGGCAAAAGAAGTGTCTGACAGCCTCAGAATCAGGGGCACCCACACCTATTGCAGGTGATAGATCATGATCTGCTCTTCTAATCCGGTCCACCTAATAAAAAACACGGGGCCCGGCCCCCCCCCCCTAATAAGGAAACCTCGGTCGCATTTTTTCTAATAGGGGGTCCCTGAAATCGGGGGGCCCAAAATAGGGTCAGTGGATGTGCAATATTTTGTGGACCTTGAAGTGCAGAATTCGTGGCAGGTGCAGTACTTTGTGGAGCTTGAAATGCGGATTGCGTGGCAGGTGCAGTATTCTGTTGACCTTGAAGTGCAGATTTCGTGGCAGGCGCAGCACTTTAGGGACTCCTAGCATCGCTACTAGGAGCAAGGCCCCTACTAGGGGCTCCTGGCATCGCTACTAGGAGAGCCAGCGGAGAGTCTGCAACGCAACATGGTCGATTTTGAGGGTGTATTGGGACCAATTTTGAGGGAGTTTTGGGGAACCTAATAAAGAAACTACCCCCAAAATCGACCATGTTGGTAGTTTAGTAGCGGTTTGAAAGGGCGGTAATTTAAAACCAAATATAAACCGAATTTAGGGGGATCCGGCATGACTTTTTTTTAATAGGGGTCCGTTTTTAAATAGGTACTCGGGATTAAGATGTTTGCCCCAGACCCCCGGACCGATGGCCCGCAATTTTTTTCATCCCCTTTTGAGACGCGCACCACTTGAGATGCATGTCCAGACGAGACGCCCTCCTGTGACTCACTGCGACCCTGGGTTTCTTGTAGATGTTCCTTCAACATCCTTCAACCAATTCTGAGAACTGAGGTGCTGCCTGTGGGGTGCAGATCCTTTCGCGTGTGACTTGCGAGGCCAACTCTGGCAGCCTCAGCGACTGGGTCGATGTAGCGACGAGCCGGTGAAGCATCGAATAGCCATACGACAGTGATACAGAATAGCAGATACAAATACATACTAGTGATGACTGCGAGGTCATGCAACAGGCATTCAGTGGAACTCTTGGTTGATCAGTCCAGACATGGACAGGAAAAGCTGGTTGGAGGGGTTCTCTCCGAGAAACTCTCCGAGTGGTCAGAGAGCGAGTTGCTCGAAGAGGTCCAAAAGGGTGGTCGAAGAGGTTCACTGGTTCCTTTTATATTTGGGGACTTGGGGATATCCCATTACCAGCCACAGTCGTTAAACGAAAGCCCATTGAGAAAGGTCTTTACTCACCCATCATCCACTGGTTTTTGTTGCTAAACCCAACTTTGATGGTGGTGATGGATGTTATACATGGATATGTGCCTGCTTCTCTCAACCCCTATAAAGTGACCACTGAGGCGAAGTCCAGCGACCTAAACAAAAAGGATCCTAATTCCGTACCTATGTGATACCTGACAATTAAAGGATCCAAGGATATCCAAGGATCCTGGGGTACCTTATGTGATAGATATAGGGTTCTTCAACCTCTCTTGACCGGCCGAGGTCGAAAGCCCGGTCGCCGGAACGATTGGAACCATCCACGCCTGGGCTACCGCATTCACGGCCCGGGGATGGGGGTCGGTGAACAGGTGGGAGCTGGGAGGTGCAGTGCGCCGTGAAGTGCATTCCACTTCTTGGAAGGATCTGGAAGCCCTTGTTTACTGATTAACTGGTAGCTTCTTGTTAACTAGCAGCAACTGCCAGGACGCTACGTTCGTAGCGTCCTTGCTCCGTTCGTAGCGATGCCCTTTGTTACTAGTAGCGCTTATGGAATGCTGGGATAATAGACCCTCTTTTCAGAGACATCTCTTGAGGACGGGGCAGGATGTTCATCAGGGGCGCTAGAAACACCATCTCGAGTTAAAACAAGCATTCGTACTTTTTTTTAAAGACTTCAGAATTAGACCGAACCATTCTTTTACTGGTTGAAGGCTAGGAAACATGGAGTTTCTGGGCAGTTCATCTGGAGTGGGAGACGGCCTTTGCATTGGATGAAGACCAGCGGACGAGTTTCCGGTCCATCGGGGAAAAAACATGAGAAGAGGCATGGGGAAAAAGAATGTGTCATAAGTTATATATATACTTAAATATGCATTGTATGATTGTGTATGTATTATTTTCCCCATCAGTTTTCCGCACTGCTCTTTTTTTTCCACAAACCACACATTTTCGGGTGGGGTTTTCAGTGATTCGACGCGAGACGTTTTTTGCGGCTGGTCGTCAAGCCAGCGACGTTTCCTGGCTGTACACATATAGACGCCTCTTTCATGTCAATTTCGCTCCCATGAAAGTTGATGCAAGCTTTTGGTATCCTGGTAGAGAGTGCCTAGTTAGTTAGTTAGTTAGTTACTTAGTTAAATAGTTAGTTAGTTAGTTAGTTCCAATACACTACATCATGAGCATCCAGTATTTTCTGAGAATGTCTTTTTTCTCAACTCTTTGTCAAGTCTGTCATTGACTCATATTGACAGACTTTCCGGCAGATCTCGTTGTCTCCACCGGAGCGCACTCTGCGGTGAGTACCGGTCAGGCGGCCCTGGCTGGAATGGCTCACCGCACACCTACACGGATCCGATCCGCTGGTCCTTCGACTCAAGGGCATGCAAGGGCGTAAAAGGAGGTGGGCTGAAGTCGCGATTTTTGGGGTATTTTTTGTAGGAATCCCTAGAGTGTTGTATAATTTTTCCCGCTTGCAGTGTTCCCCGCCGGACCTCAACTGCCAGTTCCGGACGGCAGTGTTCCCCACCAGTTCCGGACGGCAGTGTTCCCCGCCAAACCTCAACCACGAGTCAGAAAAGATGCAAGATAGAACGCCGGAAGCATGTCAGAATATATGCAGAAGATATGCCAGAAAGAATGTCAGAAAGAATGTCAGCAGATATGCCAAATAGAATGCCAGAAAGAATGTCAGAAGAGATGCCAGAAAGAACGTCAGAAAGAATGTTGGAGATGCAACAGAAAGAATGTCACAAAACGTGTCAAAATATATGCCAGACAGAATGCCGGAATGAAATTCAGAAGAGATGCCAGAAAGAATGTCAGAAGATATGCCAGAAAGTATGTGAAAAGGAGTGTCAAAAGATATGCCAGATAGAGTGCCAGGAATAATGTCAGAAGGGGAGCCAGAAAGAATGTCAGAAGATATGCCAGAAAGAACGTCAGAAGATATGCCAG